TTATTATTATTATATCAGTATTTTTAATGTGAAATATTGGAAGTATGGTGCAAAACTTCTGTTTTGTGAATTGTGTTTTTAGAATCCTGTAAAAACACTGATATTGACCAAGGGAAATTCCTGGGACATAAATGGTGCATGAATTCATTCTTATACATTCTGTAATTGCCATACAAAACTGTTGTCTCCGTCTCAGCAAGATAATGGGTACTAGACAGACACCTTGTCCTTTTAGTACTACTGTGTATGATGCAGTTTAAGTCTGGTGGTATATTTTTTAAAAGTATGAATTTTGTATATATTTATCTATTACTATGAAGTATGTTTATGTTAAAGAGGAAATGCAATATGTTTTCCATTCATTCATGTCACACATCAATTTTTTGTCATTCTCATACAGCTTATGAATTATCCAGTTGCAATAAAAATATTTTAAGTGAAATTTGTGTTATTAATTTTGAAGGTACAGGTGAAATCTGAAACAAAAAAATATGACAGATTACACTGTTTTAAAAAGTTGAAAAAAGGAATCCAACTTGTCTAGTATCAACAAAGCCAATTAAATGGACTTAGTTGCAAAGGCTCTGGAAATTGGAACCTTTTGTGAGTTACATTAACAAAAATGTCTTAATTGCATTTTGGGTCTTGCAATTTTTAAACTTAAATCAATAGAAGGGAAAGAAGTACTATCATCTTACACTTTCTCTGGTAAACTCCTGATGGAAAATTATGTGGTGCAGCTGGTTAGAATGATTGCTACAGAGAAGATATCTCTAAAAAGTAACCTGATGTAGGTCACCCAAGCCAGACCTATATGCGGAAGAGCAATGGAGAATTCTTGTCATGTTCACCTGTCCAGTTGTTTTAAAACTGATTGTCCACACACATATGCTGTAAATTATAATGAAGTTAAATAGAAATAACTAATAAAAAATAAACGATCAACTTCAGCGAGGGCTTGGGTTAATTTTTTTATTATTAAAAATTGTTTTTTTATATAAGGAATATCAAAATAGGTCTTCTGAATATATTACCAGGTCAGCACAACCACAGTGTGTTCTTTGCTCATGCTGGGATTTCAAGACAACCTAAAGCCATATTAAACAAAATCACCTAAGACCTACAACCTTCTTAATTACTCTACTATTACAAAAGCAGCACAAGATACAAGAAGGTTGCATCTGTTTAAGCATGTGCTTCACAGGTGGGAACAGTCAGTGCCCTGCTAGCTTTTATTTGCAATTAAATGAGTTATCATGAAGCTTAAAATGAAGCAAAGTCACTGATATACTGACTAGAATAAATCATAAAGGGGAAAAGAATTTTAAACATGTCAACTATCTACTGCTTTATATATCTACTGATATATACCTCAATGTTCTCAAAGTAACCCTAAGAAAACTTGCTCCATGTTACAGTACTCTGGCTTACTGCATTGTTTACATCACTTCTATAGATAACAGGAGAGCCAATCTCCAGTAAATTAACCTTCACCTAACAGGAAAGTAACTGAAGAAAATTAACTAAATGAACTGTGCAATCTTTCCAATCACAAAACTTGTTCAAAAGAATGAAAAAAGATGCTACATGCCATTTAAAGAAATACCACCACACTCAAAAAGTAAGCAGACATTTTTCCTTGAGGAGTTTGCTTTATATATATATACAACAGTCATAAAATTCATTTGCTTAAAGCTCAGGTACCAAGAATCATATCTGCAGCTTTTCATTCAAATCATTGTCTATTCTAGTTGCAATATAAGATACTGGATAATTCAAAGTGCATCATAATAAAGTCTATTACTTCACCCATCTGCTATCAAGTTAGACTTTTAATTATGGGTACGCATGATAAAACAAAACACTTATTCTAATTCTTAACATATATTGATAAGCTAGAGACAGAGAAGAATACTGAGAACAATTACTTAATAAACATTTAAAGTGCATAAATGCACAATGCTGTGGCATCATTTAAGTTATTTATCCTGACAATGTCTGGTGTTTTTTTTTCACTTCTAGAATTAGTAAAATATTTCAAATAAATTAATCTTAATTAAAAAACTTTCTAATTAGTATTAAATAAGTCATTCAAGTCCAGCTTGATATGAAAGTTTTACCTAGCAAATCACTGTACCAGAGAATGTAACATGGATGCCAACAACTTGTTTGAAGAAATATCACAATCTGACAATTGTCTAATCAAATGCTGTTCGATGATACAAGCAAGAATGACATTTGACTTTAAAAGTTACCAGTGGACAAAATTATGTGCTTTGTGCGAATTGTCACCAAACTGTCCCAGCTGGGAAATGATTTGGGCTAAAATGCCTCATTAGATATGATGACTGGCAACCTTGTTAGCACTGAGAGGTGAACAAAACACAGAAAACAAACCAGCAATGAAAATTCAATAAACTGGCTTCAATCAGATTATTCAGGCTGTCTGTTGCCTTGTACTTAGAAATAACAAAATAAATCCTGCATCAAGTACAATACTGCTTTCCAGTTGCTGTAGAACCATTGCATCCACTTAATTTTTACTTCTATACACAGAAATAATTGTACAATTCCATAGAGTATAATCATTGCATTAAATATCATTTGGGAAACTTGAGCTGTTGGAATGCTTCCAAAAATGCTATGGGTTAATATACTTAAATTTCTAGTACAGTAAGTACATTATTAGACTCTTCATGACCAACATATATATTGTGCAGAAGATAAAGACATCACTGCATACACACAGGTACATTATGTTAATCTGTACAATGTCAACAATTTTTCATTTTTTGGTTAAAATAGTTGTATGCAATACAGTGCAGGTAAGAGATATTATGTAATAATGCTTGCATCGTCATCTTTGACAACAACATCTCTATATTTGTCTGTGTTCCATGCAGTACTAGTACATCACAGTGTGCCATTTCTCCCTTCACAGATAAATGACTGCATATCCACAACAGAACACTACATATTCTGCATTAACTCTTAACTGCTTACACTTGTTCTTTCAAAAAACTCACACACGCGTACTGTTTCTCTTTCACAATACGAAGGTTAGGACCACATTACAGAATTTTCTCATTTTAAAATGTTTCTTGCATCTTCCTCTCACAACTTAATTTGTCCCTTTTAGTAAAAGCCATAATTTCATTTTCTTTTACTCTATAAAACATTTCTTAGGATAAACATTTTCTGCAAAATCTTTGTCTGGTAGTCCTTTCCAATAAATATATCATGAAGTACTACCGAGTCTGAAAGTTTTTCAACTCAAAATCACTTCTTATGATGAACAAATTCACAATGTTTGAAGCTAAACCCCAATAACCAAATGCTATGAACTCCTTGCAAAACAACACTGTTACACTGCAGTCTCGTGATCTTCAGACACAACCAGCTGAAAATGTTCCTGGCTCTCTAAGTAAGCAGCCAGCTCCATGTCTTCTGCTTTTAGAGCTTGTAACCTGGGAGTATTGCCCTGTAAGAGAACACAAGGAAACACGGTTAACCATGTGCTATCCGAAAAGCATAAAAATAATGTACAGTTGTTAATACCGACATGCAAATGGCATTTAATTTTCAATCAACATGTACTATTAATCACTTTATCTGAAATTGATCTTGTGTTTATTGTTACATTGGATTATGCAGTTCTGCATTTAAGTCTAAATTAGTCTGACTAGCACTTGAAAAACAGCCATCCTAAAATACACTGTAAGAAGACAACAGAAAGTAACAACCATGGGTGATTCAACTGACAAAAGGTAGCTTGTTCATATTAGGTAGGAATACTCTAAGGGCATTAGAAGTGCTTATTGTCAACTTGCCAAGAGGTGCTATGTATTTGCAGATTGCTCGCATTCTGGAAATTACACTTTTTACAATAAGCTGAAAGTAGCTAATACTAATGCTGTGCATTTACTGGCTTGATTGCAATCTGAATCACCTCTTCCACCAAGATTGATCTAATTGACCCTTAATAAGTATTCACGCCAGAAAACCATGAGGTATTGTTGCTGACCTGGTAGTCCTTCTTAGTGAGTGATGCCCCTGCTGCCACCAACATACAGCAGATGGTGCGACGCTGATACCAGGCAGCCTTGTGGAGGGCCGTCTGGCCTCTGGAATAAAAAAGCATATCACATATTATAAAAATAATGCATCAATATGTCAACATTTACCAACTGTTTTCTATGCAATGGGAGAATAATGGCACATACCTGGCAGGGTGAAAATATGTAGACAAGAATTACCCTGAGGACATTTCAAGTTCACAAGTAAGTTTTCAGAGATTTATTGTAACAATTTTCTTGAATCTTGGTTTATAACTTAAATCCACATAAGTTTCAAATATGTATGACTTATGATAAAAAAAATTTTCAGAAACTTACTTTTCTAGATCCACAATATCTAAAATGACAGGTGGTGCTGCAATATAAATAAAACCTTTAATTTGCCTGTAATTTCAACACAGTTGTATCCTTTATTTATTTATTTTTTTTTTACATTGCAAAAATGTCTATAGAGGCCATGTATTATAAACTTATTTGAAAAGTACTCATCCATGCTCTGGATAAAACAATTACCATTGTAAAAAAAACAAGCCATGTTTATTTAGAATGCAACCTGAAGAAAATTAATCAGAAAATCCATAATCAAATTTTGTAATCCATTTCTTCATCTTACTTGTTCCTTTAATATTTTGCCTTCTGAAAAAAGAAAAGATTTAGAGATCACCTACCATTCTCTATGAGGAACTTGACAACCTCTTTATGCCCGAAACGTGATGCATGATGTAATGCAGTCATGCCATACTGATCAGTTGCTAACAGGTTTGCACCTCCACGATGAAGCTCCATTATCTTGTTAAAAAAAAGCACAGCTTTCAATGATGGAATAATTTTAACAGAGGTTGTTTACCTTGTTATAATTCTTATGTCTAATCAAGAAGTACTTTTACTTGGCCATTTTATGAGTTCATAAATTCAATCATGACCAAGGTTTTAAACAGTCATGATATCCTTCTGATATGACACTTACCCTGACTAAATCTCCTCTTTTAGATGAATCTATCAGCACTGGAAAACAGAACAACATACTTTTACACTATATATATGTATATATATCCAAAACATCTTAAGAAATTGTAGTATATTACATGCGTACAATATGTAAATCTTCTTTTCATTGTGTTTTTATACTGTCATGCATAAAAAATATTCAGAACTAACCAAGTAACTGAAAGAACATAGAAATTTTCTGCACCTTTTACTGCCCTGCCTTCACACCTCTTAATGCAAGCCATATTTGAAATTAACTAATATATCTCTTGTGACTACAAAAATGCCAAATTTCTCAAATCTTTTTAAAATGTCCCAGCTCGTGTAGACAGATTTGTTAAACAACCTTTGCTGATCAGTTGGACCAGTTTTTCATGTTTTATTTATGTCAGTCAGGCATCAGCTTGAGTATGGAGCTATATATGACGTACCATACCATGACAACAGCAGTCTTACATTTGGTTTAAAGGCATATGAATTCATTTATTTATTTATTTGATTGCTAATCAACCTTGGTGCTCTTTTCCTAATTTCAAAATTAACATGAAAATAAGCTAAAATATATTACAGGATGGATATCCTCTTTTACAAAACGTCCTGTCAAAACAATGTCAAGACACCACGTGCAGCAATAATAATAATTGACTGCATGACAGATGATTAACTTTTTAAAGGTCAAAATTAACAAATTAATTGGAATCAAATGTTATAATGTGTGGCTGTGCATAATGTGGCCTTTCATACATGATAAAAGAGGTTGGACCACATACCTTTAAAAATACAAACAAATCCTGTATTATTTTTTAAATCACTTTTAGATCTTCTTAAGGTCAGCATACAGTCAAAATCATAACTTACCCTATAAATTGTGAAGGAATGAAGATATAAAAAAACAAATGGAGGAAAAACTCTACGTCTGCGGAGTTTCTTCTGTTCATCAAAATATACACAAAATCTGTCATCCTTCCTAACTTTTTTATTCACATAAAATAAGAGGATAACCTCAAAAGATAAAAGAACCCCATTAATGTATGTTACAATGTAGATCCACTGATATGATATTTTCTTTTAAAAAGGCTTCACTTACTTTTATCTGTGGGCACTGTTACTGTCTGTTTTGCGGCTACTGGTATTGTCAGCGAAGCATCAGAAGTTACTGGAGCAACAGCCTGGAAGCTGGACTTTCTCTCTTCAGCACTGGAATTGGGGGTGCCTGGTTCAGAGCTGATATATATATATGAAAAAAAAAACAAGAACAGTCAATATACAACACATCAAAAAGGATGCCTTCAAAATGAAAAACAATAACAGATTATTTTTTAAACCATCAATATCTTAACTCTTAAAATGTTGCTCAAAATACAGTCTCACTCTTTTCAAGTGTTGGTAAAATAGTTTCCAATAATTAAGTGCCATTCTCAGTTTATAGACAAACATTATGATATTCCCTTTAGATATCACATATCTAGAGAGCCATGGATGACAGAAGCACATTAAGAACTAAATGTTTTTGACATTTAAAAATGACACCACAACGCCTGGAATATGACCAGAAATAGAGATACACTGGTTAACATTCCATTCAATACATTAGTTGTCATATATATATATAAATGGTATGCATGGTATGGGTAACCAGATTGCTCAACTATGCAAAGCATGTATACACAATTAAAAATAAATAAATAAAAATAAATAAACACGAGACACACATGAGGTTCACATGTCTCATGCTTATTTTTTATCTATTTTTTAAATTGTGTATATATATGAAGATGGCTTTAGCATTAAAAACTGGCAACCATGCACCTTAGGCTGTGTTCACAATAGGAGTAACTTAAAACTGGATGCTACTCCTCTAGGACCTCCATTCCCTCCCAGTTTTCTAAAGCAGTCCTGTTGTGAACTTGCTGTAGGCTGATATGTAGATGTAGCATTTATATACACTGGATTATACAATATATTATATTACTTTCTTACAATCTTTTTAAGGCCACTTGCATATCAGCTAAAACTGCCCGAGTATATGTAACAATTAAATAGACAGAACTGCACCAAAGATGATTACAGTTATCTAAAACCTGTTTATCTTAACCCCTAACAATAAACAGGAAAATAATGTGACATACTGATACAGGTTACCATACATGTTTCAATATATAAATAATACACAGACATGAACCTAGACAATAAGTGACACATAAAATATCATTTCACATGCAACAGAATGTCAGGGAGGTAATGGGAGGCAAGGACTGTACAGATCAGGGTTTCCACCAGATTTTCAACTTAGGAAATAACCCAACTTTAGTTACATGAAATTAGATGTCAGTCACTGTGTTTGAAAATGGGGCCCATTTCATTGTTTTGCCAAGAATCCCCTTGAAATCTTGCACTACTGGAAACCCTGCAGACATTAATATATAACTTAGAATACACATCGCAGGTGTTGTATAAATTATGACATTGGGTATCCTTAATATTAATACAACATCTTAAGGTTACAGTAACTATGTCATCAGCAGTCATCATGCTGTGTCATGCATGTACAATGTATCACTACCGTCGTCTTTGCTGTATCTTGCTCATAAACTCTTTCAGGAATAACTCATTACTACTAACTGGAGTTATGGGAGTGGTAGGGAAAGACCTATTGAACACAAAGTAATAAATAGCATTAAAAAGCAAAAAATGTGCATTAATCATCATTCCAAAGTAACTAATGACAAAATGATAAGATTAAGAAAATAAGGTTGTTTTTAGTCATCCATGAAAAAAGCATTATTGTATGGTGACAATCTAAATTCCAACATGTGCATGCCTAAAATAGTCCAAATCAAGAGTTGTCTGGTGCTTGTAAAAGTAACAAATGCAAATATTGCAATAATAAGCATTAACAGTGCCTGAAGTTTGACCTTTTATATGTGAGAAAAAGACTAATCTGACATGCAATAAATCTGTTCAGCTTTATTACCTTCATTTGTAAAATTTTACAAATGATTATAAGTAATAGGATATTCACTGAATTTGTTTTTTTCACTTAGAAAGATGCTTTTCATATAAATAAAGAGGAATCTTTGTCCATGTTCAAAGACTTAGGATGCCTTTGTTCTACAAAACATATAACACATGGATATATGATGTTTAAGAAAATGAACAATACCAACTCATGAAATCTAATATGCATCACTATTAACACATCATTAAAGCCAAGGCTTTCAATTCTGTTCTAGGTTAGAATTGCAGTGAAAATTACATGCATTCATAAAAATGATAATTAGTATGTGATTAGTATTATGTGCTACATATACATATAACATGCGCATATGCCTCTGGTTAAAGGGTATACATTGTAAATTTAACTGATCCACACTAAGTTGCAAACAAAAGATTAGGTTTTCCAACAATAGCATGAAGAAGAGCAAAAAAGCAGAAATAACAAAAAAAAAAGCACAACAAAATTAATTTTATGGCCATCAAGAATAAAAGGTCAAAATCAACCCCCCCCCCCCCCAAGTTATCACCTTTTTTACAGCGTATATCTTTTATAATTACAAGAAGATCTGTATAGGCCAAGTTTTAAAATCCTGTGAGGTAGATAAATGTACAATTATTGTAAATTGCTAAGCAATGCATGACCCTTACACCCAAATAATTTATCTTTGTATTTCCCTTTTTTAAAGTGATAGTACTGTTATCACTATTTCCCAACCTTCTTATTAAGGCTCCAGCTGCTGCGCCAGACTCCACTACATCATGCACTACGCCTGCTGAGATCTTACACAAGGCACAAACATCTAGATTGTAGAGTAAACTGAAAATACATAGACACAGCACGCATCAGCAACACAGCACACAGGCCAAAATGACAGCAATGACTCCCCCCCCCCCCCAAACCCATTACTGTGATCAAACATGGCAATGACTGAAACTGTCAGTGGATAGAAACAATGAAGGATAGATATCAAATGCATGGAGTAAATTAAGCATGGATTTTTAATATCACTTAAATTTGCATCAGATGTGATATTATGAACATAATTTGGATTAAATACTTCAGCTTGGTTTTTGAACAGTGAATGTGCAAGTGAGACAGGTATATGTAGTCATACTGAGAAGAGAGTCTATGTATTAAGTTTTGTGAAACCAAGTCTACTGGGTGCCTACAATGAGTACTAAAAAAAGACATATAAATTGGGTTAATTTTTCTACATTATCCTAGACACAATTATCTAGGCAAACATTTGGAAAATAGTTAAGACAACTACTGTCTATAAACCTGTTTTTACAGTCTATGCAATTCTTCATCAGTTTTCAGCTCCTTTCTATATACATCTGATACTAATTGTATGTCTTTAATAGATAAAAAACTACAAAGAACAGCAATAAACATGGTAATGCTTTAAGGTTGATATGTTGCCAAAATGAAAATCTGGTATACCATATGCCTGAATTCCATCCCATAACATTTTATCTCAGAGCCCTTCCTCATTTAGGCAAAAAAGGGGACCCAACCTGGGCCCATTAAGTTTCATTTCAAATGCTTCAAACATGGGTGCCCCACTCTTTATAAAATTCTGGATCTGCATGCATCTAGCAAGGTAAATCTACATGCTAAAGACATTACACTGGCACTTCACTAAACAACACACTGTTTCAACAAAAAAGGCCACACATTTTTAACATCATCAAATCAACACACCTTTGGTAATAAATTGTATTATGGTAGTGGGAATATTATTTGTTAGCTATCAGTCTCACAACTTGTAGAAGGGACTGATGAGAATGGCAGCTGTTTGGCTACTTAATTACTATATTTAACATGTATTTCAAGCAGTACAGTAATTTATGTTGTTACTTAAGACCTTTTCATGTGGATCAGTATAATAGCGATACAGCTGTACTGGCACACTTTGAGAGATTGACAACTTAATAGCCTCGCTACTATGTAAGACAGTCACCAAAAAGCGAACTGGCACTTAACAAAAAAAAAAAAAAAAAAAAAATAGTAATAATAATTACATGTTGGGACCTCTCAAAGCGTATTGGTAAAGCTGTAGTACTAAAATGTACTGTTTGATGTGAAAAGGTCTAAAATAAGCAATAAGCTTCAGATTTTAACTGCAGGCAAGTTTTATAAGTGTCTTTTTCTCCATGTTGTAGCCTTTACTTCTACAATGACATCAAACACAGTATTGCATACAATTAATTGAAGCTCTTTCATTTGGAATGATATCCCTTTGCCTGGTTTTGCAGTTCCAACCTGTCATCTGGGCAAAATAAAAAGACTCAAACAAGATACGCCTAATGGCAGTTTATGGAGTGGAGTGTTCATCATGAGAGACCAAAAGGTCAACTGATTTATAACACAGGCAACAGGCTGCAAATGCCAACCATTTAACACTATACATAAGTTATTCTATCTTGGTAATTGGAATTGCAAAGTAAGTAACGCAAAGCATATTCTAAAACTAAAAACACACAAAATGCATTATATTGGCATTTGAAAAAAACACACACAATAATGAAAAAAATCAAACTCCAACCTGTTACTAGATGTGGGAGAATGGGGCAGGAGGGAATTGTCTCGGCTTTCTGGTCCAAGCATACAGCTTTATGAAAGAAAAACAAAAACTCTACAACTAGGCTTACTATGAACAATGAATTTTTATAAGCTTTGCACTTAACCTATAATAAAAACAACATGACTAGATTTTAAAAAGCACAGATACAACAGAATCACCACCAGAATTATAACTAAAATTACCATAAATGACAATTTGAAATCACCTTCAAACAAAAGCCTATAATGCTAAATCCTATGAAAAAAATACATTCTGGTTTCTCTGTATTCTTGCCACAGACATTTTACTAACTAACATAGAAGTGTTTTTATGGTCCAAAAAGTGCTGAATCGATGTCTTTGTAAAATTGGAGATGTGTAGAAACACTGTCAGTTTCAGAATGTCATTCATTAAATGAATTTTGACAATACAGATAGAATTAATCAATGAAATAAGTAGTGACCTATGATACACATGAATGTTGTTCTCTCAATACCCCCCCCCAAGTCCCAGAAAATCAAATAACTACTTTTTTAAAGTTAAAAGCTAACCTTTAAGCCCTTGTTTTTCTGCTAATTTAGTCAGGCTAGTTAAGACCAGGTACAACTGCTTTGTAATGGGAAGAATCTATCTTGTCAATGTAAGAAAAAAATCTTTTCTCTACTTAAATAACACATAAGGATTTATTTGAAAAAATTATCTTTAACTGAAAAGCACAATAGACATATCAGGCAAAGAGACTGAAAGTATCACATATCATCAATTACAAATTATGTGTCTGCAAAGCAGTCAGCTAATTCTGTCCTTCCCTTTCTAGGTACACAAAATAATTCCATACATCTAGACATGTGTATATTAAAAAATTGCCTTTTAAAGCAGTTCCATGCGTGTTCTCTAATTGTTCAGTGCAGATACCTACCCTGGTGACCTGGGAGGAGTGACTGGCATACTGAACACAAGGTTAAGATGGTCTAACTTGCCCTCTGCGGCACCATCTGGGACATCCGTGACTGCTGCTTCGTAACCTTTCTCTCTGCTTGCCACCATCTGCCAAGGGCTGTCCTGTGGATTCAAGCCACTAGGCACAAGCAGATCAGGGTCCAGGATGTACAGATCCTCCGAGGAAATGTCCGTGATGTAATGCAAATGTTCCTGCGAGCGATCAATTCGAAAGAAACGTTCTGCTGTCGTTGCTGGGTTGAAAAAGATAATTTCAGCTTATTAGTATAAGCACCGTAAAGAAAAGAAGTCTATAAATTAATTTTATCATTTATAACTGTTTCAATAAAAGTGAAGCATACAAATGCTTGGTTACTTACAATCTAGAAAGCACCAGTTTGGGGATAGTTTCTGAGTAATGGCAGAGTTCGACACTCCAAGGTTGTCCTGAAATGGCATGTACTTATCATCCTTATTCAAAAAATGGCAAATAATCATCACTGTTAAATTGACATTACTATGTGTTTCTCATTTTCGTTTAAAAATATTGTTTAAATTAATCAAAGTTTATCAGAAAACTTGTCTCTTATTGTTAATTTACAAGAACCAGATGGACTACTTTAAATACACTGAAATAACATCAATGAGAGAAATTACTAACACAGTTATTTTTCAAAAACTTGATTATAAAATGAATGAGAAATACCTCTTGCAAATGATTAATTCGATTCCTAACAACTTCCAGATCTGAATCATTCTCTACAACAATTATTCCTAATGGAATGGCTGGAACAATAACACATAAAAACATCAGTATATAAAAGTTCAAATACCAGTCATGTTGAATTCTTAAACTTTTTAGCAAAACCATAAATTTCATAGCAACAAGTTTAAGGTTTTACTTCCATTCACAGTGACCCCGAGAGCTAAATGACAGGATTGAGGACTATAAGAATTGTCCTGTTTCACATTTACATTCCATCCAACCATTTTACTCACATGCAGCCTTGAGTTTTTCTTTATCATAATGAAGAGCCTCGTAGTCGGCCATACTTATGCGGCTGGCCTGCAGACGCAATCTTTGGGCAGAAGGAGGACTGAAAATGGCAAGGCCAGGACTAGCAAAGGGATCAATGAAAAATGATTAGTATCATTCCATGACAATTTTGGCTGTGCATTCAATCCTTAGGTCCATGCATCTCAAAACAAAAAAAAATGTGGGTGGGGCGTTAGGTACAAAGGAAGGCAGTGAGGTAGAAGGGAAGGAGAGGGTGAGGTGGATGGGTGTGTGTGTGTGTGTGGGGGGGGGGGGG